GTATTACTGGACTGATCTTACAGACTGGTACACGTGTCTGTGTGGAGTATTGCATTACTGGACTGATCTTACTCACTGGTACACGTGTCTGTATGTAGTATTGCATTACTGGGTTGATCTTACTCACTGGTACACGTGTCTATGTGGAGTATTGTATTACTGGACTGATCTTACTGACTGGTACAGTACGTGTCTGTGTGGAGTATTGCAGTACTGGACTGATCTTACAGACTGGTACACGTGTCTGTGTGGAGTATTGCATTACTGGACTGATATTACTCACTGGTACACGTGTCTGTGTGTAGTATTGCATTACTGGACTGATCTTACTGACTGGTACACGTGTCTGTGTGGAGTATTGCATTACTGGACTGATCTTACTCACTGGTACACGTGTCTGTGTGGAGTATTGCATTACTGGACTGATCTTACTGACTGGTACACGTGTCTGTGTGGAGTATTGTATTACTGGGCTGATCTTACTCACTGGTACACGTGTCTGTGTGGAGTATTGTATTACTGGACTGATCTTACTGACTGGTACAGTACGTGTCTGTGTGGAGTATTGCATTACTGGACTGATCTTACTCACTGGTACACGTGTCTGTGTGGAGTATTGCATTACTGGACTGATCTTACTCACTGGTACACGTGTCTGTGTGGAGTATTGCATTACTGGACTGATCTTACTGACTGGTACACGTGTCTGTGTGGAGTATTGCATTACTGGACTGATCTTACTGACTGGTACACGTGTCTGTGTGGAGTATTGTATTACTGGGCTGATCTTACTCACTGGTACACGTGTCTGTGTGGAGTATTGCATTACTGGACTGATCTTACTGACTGGTACACGTGTCTGTATGTAGTATTGCATTACTGGACTGATCTTACTCACTGGTACACGTGTCTGTGTGGAGTATTGTATTACTGGACTGATCTTACAAACTGGTACACGTGTCTGTGTGGAGTATTGTATTACTGGACTGATCTTACTGACTGGTACACGTGTCTGTGTGGAGTATTGTATTACTGGGCTGATCTTACTCACTGGTACACGTGTCTGTGTGGAGTATTGTATTACTGGACTGATCTTACTGACTGGTACAGTACGTGTCTGTGTGGAGTATTGCAGTACTGGACTGATCTTACTGACTGGTACACGTGTCTGTGTGGAGTATTGCATTACTGGGCTGATCTTACACACTGGTACACGTGTCTGTGTGGAGTATTGCATTACTGGACTGATCTTACTCACTGGTACACGTGTCTGTGTGGAGTATTGTATTACTGGACTGATCTTACTGACTGGTACACGTGTCTGTGTGGAGTATTGCATTACTGGGCTGATCTTACTCACTGGTACACGTGTCTGTGTGGAGTATTGCATTACTGGACTGATCTTACTCACTGGTACACGTGTCTGTATGTAGTATTGTATTACTGGACTGATCTTACTCACTGCTACACGTGTCTGTGTGGAGTATTGTATTACTGGACTGATCTTACTCACTGGTACACGTGTCTGTGTGGAGTATTGTATTACTGGACTGATCTTACACACTGGTACACGTATCTGTGTGGAGTATTGCATTACTGGACTGATCTTACTGACTGGTACACGTGTCTGTGTGGAGTATTGTATTACTGGACTGATCTTACTCACTGGTACACGTGTCTGTGTGGAGTATTGCATTACTGGGCTGATCTTACTGACTGGTACACGTGTCTGTGTGGAGTATTGCATTACTGGACTGATCTTACTCACTGGTACACTGGTACACGTATCTGTGTGGAGTATTGCATTACTGGACTGATCTTACTGACTGGTACACGTGTCCGTGTGGAGTATTGTATTACTGGACTGATCTTACTGACTGGTACACGTGTCTGTGTGGAGTATTGTATTACTGGACTGATCTTACTCACTGGTACACGTGTCTGTGTGGAGTATTGTATTACTGGACTGATCTTACTCACTGGTACACGTGTCTGTGTGGAGTATTGCATTACTGGGCTGATCTTACTCACTGGTACACGTGTCTGTGTGGAGTATTGTATTACTGGACTGATCTTACTCACTGGTACACGTGTCTGTGTGGAGTATTGCATTACTGGGCTGATCTTACTCACTGGTACACGTGTCTTTGTGGAGTATTGCAGTACTGGACTGATCTTACTTACTGGTACACGGTCCGGAATCAAACTTCCAGCACCTCAATCGTGTATAATATGCCATCTTGCATCTATAGTTGATTGACTAATTGGTTGCAGGTCTGCAGAAATTCGGTCAAAACTGTAAAATTTCGGTCCTGGAAATTTCATCTTCAAAAACTGTAAATGGGACAGACTTGTATTGCACGTCATAACTCCCAGGCCCAATGTCGTTTCACTGTAGAGTTTCAACGATACAGGGGGAGCCGCGCACAGACACTAAACAGCCGCGGACAGACTATGGGACAATATTGAATATGATTTTCCAATCTTCTTCGAGATTTGACTTCCACTTTCCAGTGCAGTACCCCAATATCAATTTGGTTTCATACCATCGTCAATTAACTAACTAATTGGTAATTTCGGAGCAAAAATTCATCCAATCTGTCAAATATGTGTTTAGAAATTGTCTATCACCCTTGACGGATGTTACTCGTCTAAATTTCTTCGAAGTAGCGCGCCCCGCTTTCTTCTCGAAATGTTAGTGGCCCGACGGCACGAGCTACGAAGTAGCGCGCGCCGGGCCAGATCATTAACAATGGTCAACTATCACCCCCATGCAATGCAATGACGTACAACGAATTAACACAAAAGGACTATAGTGCATGCAAAGAAACTGCTGCTCACTGCTGCTTAGCAGAAGTAAGCATGTTACCAGTAACTGTACTGGGCCGCGCTCAGCCTGTCATTCCGCCGAATCTCTATGTTAATGAATATGATAGCCTGAGGTCCCCAGGCAATGATCATGCAGCAGTTAGCAGCAGTGAGCAGCAGTGAGCAGCAGCTTTTTATGCGTGTCTTTACTGCGCAACGCACGCCGCGCGCAACTGCTGCTCACTGCTGCTATGGGCGCGCGCGCGACAGCAGCAGTGAGCAGCACTATACTTTGTACTTGGTATAGGCGACCTTCGGTGGCTTATGTCAGCTACGCGTACGATACCTTCTTACTTATACCATACCACCCATCTCGATAAAGTAGAAGACAAACCGGGATATCTCCCTGCACGAAACCCCATTTGATGAAGATGATAGGTGATATTAGATAATGACCATGTTAGGGGGTGCACCATAAAAATAAACTTGCTCGGATTTTAAAAATTTTTGTACCATTGTTTTCTAGAGACTGTGAGAATTTTCACAATACCAAATTTGTCATACCTTTTTGGAAAGATCAGTGAGTTTCGCCTAGGTGCCATATTTGATGGTGCGCGGCTTCTGGAGCAAAATTAGCTGTAAAAGTCGCGTTATTTGACCAAATTTGACCAAATTCGTTGATTTTTGTCGTATTATTTGGATATATCTTCAGTTCCTTGAATGAGATCATTCTGAAAATTGGCGACGACCTTCCAATACACAATAGGGCTTTCACAACTGTCCGAAAAATTTGGTGGATATCGGAGTTGATATAGTGATCAAAATGGGGCAAAATACGCTGCTTTTAGCTGTAACATAATGTCTGATAGTTGGATATGCTTTAAACTTTTCGGACACCTTCCTTGTAAGTCTATGAGTAAGCTCACAAATTTTTGTTGCAATCGGAGGTCGGGAAGGATACTTAATATCTATTTGTTTGAAGAAAATTGTGCTGGCCGAAATTAGCGCTAAAAAACCATCCTACAGTCGGCACGCGCGGCTCACTGTTTACCTGGGGACCTCAGGCTATTATGTTCGAATAGAGATTAGGCGGAATGACAGGCTGAGCGCCGCCCAGTAACTCACTGTCGATGGCGCACTACCTAACCATGTGCACATATATTTTAACATGTTTACTGATTAAAGACTGCTTTTCTTGCTTACTGTATGTTTGGAGGACTTCGCCGCTTCGACGCGCCGCGCAAACTAGCATTCTTGCTTCGCATCGCATTCTTGCAATTCGCATCGTCAATCGTTGCTGTGCTTCGCAGAGCAACGATCTCGATGGGTTGACATCGTCAATCAGACAATCAAATTGTATGTAAATGGATTTAAAAATCATTTGCTAAAATTTTAATTATTAAAATGTCAAAAAAAAATATGAAAAAAATTCGGATTTTTGATTGCCTTCTAGCGTTCATATAAATGTCCGTTCATAATTATGTCCGTTCAAGTAATGTCCGTCCAAACAAGGTCCGATAAGGTATTTCAAAAATGCAATGAAGTCCATATGTTGAAAGAATCATCTAAAGAGGTGATAACCGTTGAGAAATCGCTTTTAACACGAAAAGCTAACGAGATTCTGTTTCGTCTCAGACTATTAATCATATGAGCAAGTTAGTTTATAGTTAAGCCCTAATTCATTAATTGGGAGAAGGAAATGGCCGCGGTAAATCGGGGTTTTCGTTGACCATTGTTAATGATCTGGCCCGGTGCGCGCTACTTCGTAGCACTTGCCATCGGGCATAACATTTCGAGAAGAAAGCGGCGCGCGCTACTTCGAAGAAATTTAGACGAGTAACATCCGTCAAGGTTTTCGGCATGTGCACTGTATATCAATTATACCAGGGATTATCGTAAAAATTAAAAGTCGGCTTAGCATTAAGATACAAATAAAAAATACATTAAGATCACATTATTCTACATACAGTTAAAACAAAACCATGCATACATTCCATTTACGTTATTCTTTGTATTTCTGTTGCAAAAGAGC